TGACGATGTCGCTACTTTCAATCTTTAGTGGGCCAACATTGCCCCTGATCGCTCACTTTTCCTTAATGTAACTATAAAATTTCTTATTGATTTTCATGTCCCTTGCAATTTTCCTTTCATAATCCCTTTAAGTACCTCTTTTAAGCTGCTTTGTGGCCCTTTGCTGGACTTTGTATCTTTCCCATTCAGCTGGATCTGTGCTGCTTTTTGCATTTTAAGAAGCACTTTCTTTTAGGTTTGTGCTGACACTTATTTCTTTAGTTGTCCATGATTGTTTTTTCTTTGAAGTAGCTTTTTCCTCTCAGGGAGTTATAAACTGGTTTGTCTTGTGTTAAATATTTCATTAAACATTCTCCACTTTTCTTCTGTTGTTTTATCCATTAGCAGGTTTTCCTAGTTTGTTGTGGACAGTCTGTGTTTCATCTCAGCCTTACCTAAATCTAAAACTGTGGTAGGTGATTCATGTTTTTCTCTTTCAAATGCTACATTGAACTTGATCATCTTATGATCACAAATTGATAATTAGTAATCATGTGTGAACATTTAAATCCAGTTCAATACTCACTAAATCCAATCTTGCTTGTCCTCTTCTTGCACCCAGATGTATTGCTGCAGGAAATTCCAGACACTCCAGAAATTCACTACTTTTCTGACAGGTGCTGGTCTACCTCTCCCAACTTATATTAAAGTTAAAATTCCCACCCCCCCATACTACTACACTGGCTTTGTTAAACACTTGCCTAATTTCTGCATTTATACAATCTAGCACCTCGGAACTGCTACCAGGGGGTCAAAACACAACATCTATCACACTTTTTCATCCTTTACTGTTCCTCAATTCTGCACATAATGGTCTCCATGGATGCATTCTCCTCACTGTATCCTCCCTCACTACTGAAGTGATTTTGTTTCTAATTAGTAAGGCTAATGCACCTCCTCTGCCAATTTCCCTACCTTAAACCTCACGAGCTAGTATATTTAGTTTCTGGTCCCAACCATTGTGCAACCATGTCTCACTAATGGCTATTATCATAATCTCTATTTTGAATTACCGCTTGCAGCACATTTACTTCATTCCTTATACTCCGTGCATTTGAATATTGAACACTGATTTGGGCCATACACTAAATTTGTCACTCAACACTGACGCTTTATTCACCGGTTTATTATTTCTCTCTTCTGGTTTAACCAATGCACTTTTTGCCATTACCTGCCATATCTGAAGCAGGATTCCTGACTGTTACCTTACTATCCCTCAAGAACCCACCTCCATTTACCAATTTAAAATTCTTCTGATCATCTTATGTAACCTTTCCGCAAGGACACTGGTCTCAGGTCGATTCAGGTGGAGCCCGTCACATGGTACAATTCCTTCCTGATGCCAGTGTCCCACGAAATGGAGTCCTCTTTCTCACACCACTCCTTTAGCCAGAGAAGTACAGTAAAGATAAACTTATAGTTAAACAATATGTCAACAGCTTTTTAGTCTACTTGTAGTATTACTCACCACAGTGCAGAGCTTGAGAGCCATTCAAATCTCGAAGACGATGGACTAGATTTTATGGAGGCACTGGGGTTTTGCCTGCCATCTGGAGCCAATCATTTAAGTGGTCACTGATGGTCTTTTGTCAGGAGTGAAGCCTTGAGGGCTGAAGTCTTGCTGAATAAAAGCGGTTGGCCAATGTGAAGCCAGCAGCTCTTTTGACCTACAGCACAACTATGGAGGTTGCCACTTGATACCTGCTGAAGGCCCAGGATCAAGAAGCAAGCCAGACCACAGTTAGGTAATGGCAGGAAGGAGTGCGGCAGGATACATGCACACACCACCATCATCATCATCCCCCCAACCTGTTACAAGCTCACAGAACAACAGTTTTGTTTAACTAGCTGTACATACTTTCTAATCAACTTTTCAGTGATGTTATTACACAGTTCTGGAGCAGGTGAGACATGAAGCTGGGCCTCCTGGCTCAGAACATTACCACTGCGGGTTACAATAGCTCTGCGGGAGATATGTTAGTACTGTATTGCACTTCTATGTCAAACACTTTCCCGATGTCAGGTCCCTGGATCAGTGACTGAGTGCCTACATGCCTGAATTGCTGTTTGGCAACTCCCTAACTTTAGATATTGCACCTCACTGGGGCAATAAGCTGGAAATCAGGCCTTGCTATTCCCAGAGTTTTCACAAATTTTTATAGAAGTACAGATTTCCCGATCTGCTTGAATTTTGGACCCTGGTTGACAGAAAGCATCGTTCATGTTTCTGTATTCAAGAATTATCTATTACAACTAAATATTTCTAGCTGCAGGTAAACAATTATGGAGTACTAACTTATAACTTTACTAGTTAAGACTCTATACCCCCTTAGAAAACTTGCCGTACACACACAAAAATGACTTTACGGATGGAAGGAAAGACTGGCAGTCAATTCAAATGGTCCTTATTCACAGGGTTCAGAGATAAATTCTTTCGACTTGTTACTCCTCGATCGTCCTTCTCCAGGTACTTTCACTTGCTTACAGAAAGCACAGACCAACTGGTTCATACTTTAAAGGTCTCTGAATTACTGGTTAAAAGCCAGTACTGATAAGGGAAACAAATTGGCTTTCAGGCTCAAGGTATTTTCCTTTTACTGCAGAGAAAGGAGAGCTCTTTCCTTTCCAGAGATCTGATGGTTTCTGCCCAAAGCATTCACACCCACAACAGTTCAGCTACATGGCAGCCGATCACAGTTGTTGGCAGGTCGAAGGCCTTTCAGAAAGCAGTTCTTCAGTCCCTGCTCACAGGATCTGCTGAAATCGTTCTTATATTGATTTGAACATTGCTTCTTGGTCTTCCTTCTCTGGATACTCTTGCTTATTTGTGGGAGGCAGAGTGACTAGCTCATACTTATAAAGGGCTCCAATTTGTTACTTAAAAAGTCATAGCTTACAGAAACTGAAGGAAATATAAACTGGTTTTCTTCATGTTTAAAGAAGTTTTTACTGCAGAACAGATAGGCAGCTCCCAAATTGCTAGACCTAATGGTATCACCCTATCTTGTTCACAGCCCTACTCAAGAGTCACATAGTTGTTGGCAAGAAGGCCTTTTTAATTGGCTTTTGAACTAGTGACTAGATGCCAATCAGCTACTTGCTGCCAGCTGACTCTCAGTTTGTACATAGCCCTTGATTCCAAACAATCTATTGCACGTACCACCAGTTATATAAACAGTGCTTACAATGGATGTCAAGCTACTTGAGTTACAAAAAAGTGCAGTAGTCCCTCGTGAATCCTGGAGTTTAAAAACAGTCCCTTTTCCCAATCCAGTCCACAAACAAAACTAGAACAAAATAAAAAGATATGGTCTTTACAAGGTGTGAGAAGAGCAAGCTAATTGCTGTCAGGTAAAAATATAATTGGATTCGCTGAATATCCTTCCAGAATTCATCACCACACGAGAAGAATGGCCATTTCAAAAAAGCATGGAAAAAAGACAGCAACATCAGTGACTACCTTCAAGAAAATAAAAATGGAAGGAAAGACAGGAAAGCAAGTTGAAGCAAACCAGTTTCTGCAACCCAAGGATACCACTGTTTTGTATGATTTTATTTCTGGAAATTAGATGCCAGTACCAGTAAAATATAGATTCTTTGAATAATATTGCAAAGTGAATAATAAAGTGCCAATGTCAATGTGGAACCCCAGTGATAAATTCCTTTGAATCAACAGAATAAACAGCTTCCTTACCTGTAGCTGGTGGCTCCATTATTGTGGCAAATAACCTCAAAGCTACCTTTGTTCTTTCTTCCCCCCCCCCTCAAAAAGAGAAAAGTATTCGAGTTTGTACTTTTTTGTTTATCATTCACATGCACATTCATCCATCATTCCTTTGCCTATCCCATTTACCTAATACCTAGCAAATACCGGTGAAACTGTACATGCACATTATCAGTCAAGGATAGGATTGGCTTGATGTTCTGACAGCTGCATCCAAATAGCCTACTAAAATTTACTGCCTTGCACCATGTGGAAAATGAACGCCAACAACTTGTACAACTGTACTCCAGCATCAGTTCTAAGAAAAGAAACTGTAGAAATACAGACTCATCGGACTTCTTGCCACAGATACATAAGACTGCTTTCCAAAGCTGCTGTTGATAGTTTATTTTGCTTCGTAAATACAGAAAAATCAAATGAACATCTTTTAATTGTATGTCACCAAGTACAACATTTAAAATAATAGAGGAAACAAAATGGATACACATTAGAAATGGAGTTGCAGCAGTTTAAGTTCAGTTTATGTCTCCTCAGGAGAGGAAGGAGAGACTAAAACTATAAAATCCAAATTACCATGCTGATAATGAAAAAAATTGAGTGATTCAGGTTATTGGGATTTCCTAAACAAAGGGTCTTTACCTAATAAAACTGTTGCTAGTTAGAAATTGTGAACAGTATATTATGTCAATCCCACCTCTCCCACCAAACCCCAGAATATAAATCATTCCATGCGATGCTTCCTTCATGTATGAATAATGATTATTTTGCATGATACTATCCCTAATCTAGGGACAGTGAGCATCATTTCTTGTCTATGGACAGAGATTCTCCTACCATATATTTCTACATGCCTGTTATATTTCAGCTGCAAATGGGGCCTGCAGAGTCTGTATTTTTATGTGGTTGTGCAACAAACGGAGGGAAAAAGGAATCTGCTATTAGCTACATTTTTACATTGTGAAAAGAAGTGTCAGCATTCCTGAACAACTCATGAAGAAAAAAGTCTGCAGTTCTTTTATTGAAGCAAATGAAGTAATTCTTCACAAGTCTATTTCCAGACTCATCAAATACTTGGTCTCTGTTTAGGTTATAACAAAGCATTCACACAAAAATTGAATTCAGAACAGCCTTCCTACAAAGTCGCTCTCTTGTTCATTCATCATATTGGAGTAAACCACAGAGTGTTAATCTTGTGAAGTTAGTATTGGCAAGAAATGCATTGACGGATGTGCAGTACCTGATTGTTTGGGGTGAATGAACTTCCAAACACTGGACTTCCACTATAGCCAGCTTGACTTGATGAGAAGGGATCAAAAGCTGCCAGATTTGTTCCTGTGCTCTGTGCTTTTCCACTGGGTCCAAAGGGTACAGTGCTACCGCCACTTTCTGAAATCATCTAAGAAGTAAAAGTAAAGATTTTTCCTGATTTCTCCACAATAAGTAAAACAGTTGAGCAGAAATGGGTTACAGATCCTCTCAAAGTTTTGGTTGCGCTTTTGGGATGGTTTAAACCACACAGGCTCCCGTGTCTTTACCAGAGAGTTAATTTAAATTCGACAGAAGCAGAACCAGAGGAAATAGAAAAGTAGAAAGTGTCAAGCACAGCCAAAATAGAAAATAATGTTTAAAATGCATAATAAAAAGGCACTATCAGAATAATCATAGCGACAGCAAGAAGAATGCCAATTCAAATGCACAAAATGTGGTAAACGATACACGAACAAAAACCCTCTGAAGAGTCATTAGACTCGAAACATTATCCCTGCTTCTTCCCCACAAATGCTGCCAGACCTGCTGAGATTTGGCAGCAGTTTCTATTTTGTTTCAGATCACCAGCATCTGCAGTTCTTTGTTTTAATACATTGTGATAAATGATTATGATTTAATTATTATTATGGAGACGTGGCGACAGGGTGATTAGGACTCATTCTCAGAATGGCAGGTTACCACCAGTCAGGTACTGCAACGATAAATACTAGGTGCTGTCGTTCACCATCTATTTAAACGATATGGATACGGGGATCACTGTAATATTTCCAAATCTGCTAATAACACTAAACTGATGGGAATGAAAGAAGACTTCAAGCTGACTTAGGCAGGCTAAGTGAATGGATTAGAACATGGTAGATGGAATACTATGTAAATAAAGTGTGAAGCTATTCATTTTGCTGGCAAAAGCAGAAAGGCAAAGTATTTTTTTTTAAAATGGGGAGTGGTTGGAAAGTGCAAGTTGGGTGTCCTTGTTCATGAGTCATGAAAAGCTAGCAGATTCAGCAAGCAAAGAGGCCTCCACTGCAACAGGAATCAAGTATGGGAGTAACAATTGCTGCAAAATGTATAAAGCTTTGTTGTAAGCTCACCCGATGTATTGTTTACAGTTTTCTCCCCCTTTTCTAAAGGAGGGAATATACTTACCACAGATGGAGTCCAAATCAAATTTGCCAGATTAGTCCCTGGAATGTTGTGGTTATCTTGTGGGGAAGGATTGAGGAGACGTGATCCGCATTCCCTAGTTTTGTAGAATGAAGGGTGACCTAATTGAAACTTACAAAAATTCTTACAGGGTTTAACAGGGTGGATGTAGGTAAGATGTAACCTGGTTGGCAACTCTAGGGGATACAATCTCAGTCTTAAATGACATGACCTTTTTCCTGAGATGAAAAGGAATTTGTTCACTTGGAGGGTGATGAATCTTTGGAATTCTTTTTCCCAAAGGGCTGTGAAACTTAATTAATGAGCATATTCAAGTAAACAAGGTTTCTGAAGACTAAGTACATCAAGATGATGCCGGAAAGTGGCACTGAGATAACTGATTCATCATGATCTAACTTTGGTGGAGCAGGCTCAATGGGCTGACTAGAAGAAGCTATACTTGCTCCTAATGCTATTCAAAGTAAATGAAAAGTGCCTTAAATCACCTAGACCATTATCTTTGTGACTTTGTAGCATTTCAAATAAATTGTCAACACCACTTGCCGGAGGGCAAGAGTGGCCAAAGTAAAAGACCAAAAATGTTTTGTGACAAGGAATTATATAACACTTTATGATTTTGAATGGAAGGCAAACGCTTCTGTCCATATCAAGTCGTTAGAAATGTTAGTTTTCCTCTTGTTTACTACCTATTTCTATTGAGACTGCGCACCAATGCATTTATATAAAATCAAAGTGACCTCAATGCTTCAGCATTTGTGCATGTAATGTGGGATGAAGTACATTACTAACAACAAAACGTGACCTTGCTGAATTACATACATTGGGACAAAGCAATGCTGTAGCCCTTTCACATCTCAACTTTTCCAAATTTCAACTTCTCATGACCTTCTCAAGGGCAACGAGAAATGGGCAAGAAAGGCCTTTGCTAACAACATCAATGCAAGATACATTTAAAAAGCTGTTAAACTTTGAAGTGACCGCAGAGCCAGTTTAAAAGAAAAACCAAAAAAAAAAAAGCAGAGTTGTAACATTTGGTGCAACATTACTGCTAAAGCTTGCCTAATGTAGACTTTTTGAAAAAATAAAAACATAATACCTGCGCTTTTTAAGTGCTACATTAAAAAGGGTACCTATTCTCATGTAGGTTTCACGCAAACTCTGTATATTCTATGAGAGCAGAAAATGCAGTGAGGCCATTTTCCCCACAGTGACACTGGAAGAGGGTTTGCAAGTAAGGACAGAGGTACATGCCTGTCACCTTTTCCAGTTCCCACAAGTACATTACCAGTGACAGGCACAGCACCAGATGGCCTTCTCGGCTGTGGGCCAATTAGAGGCTTTCAAGTGTACAATTAATACCAAGTTAAGGTCTCCTCCAACCATCAGTGGAAATTGACCCACAGCAGGTTGTCAGGTGGAGAGGAATCAGATGCCTCTTTTTTGGACACATTTTGCCCACCTGGAACCTCCTTCAACATATCTACAAGACAGCTTGCATTTCTTGGCCTCACTTGTCCTATCCATTCTAGTCCCCATCATTGCAGGGAATAACTGGCAGGCACCGGCAAGACCCCCGATTTAATTACATCTGGGTTCCATTGCTCTTTGCCAGGGGACAGCATGCAGTTCCAGAAGTGACAACCAGTATTACAGACAACACCAGGACCCCAATCTAATTAAGTGACAGATACAAAATGATTGTGGGGCAAGCTGATGTAATGCAAGTAGTCTTGCCACAACTACTACACCAGAGAACAGGGGACAGGGACCCTGTCCCAATGCAAAATTCAATACAGAAATGTCAACATTTGTACTTATTATTTCATGGGACAGGAGTACAATTGGCAAGGCCAGGATTTGCTATTCATCCCCAATTACTGTAGAAAAGGTGGTGCAAACCACGTTCTTGAATTAATCCATGTGGTACATACAGTGCGTTAGGATTGCAGTTTCAGGATACTGACCCAGCAAAAGTGAAACAACATTAATATTAGTTCTAAGTTAAGATTGTTTATTGTTTGGAAGGGAACCTGCAGGTGATGGTCTGCCCATGCATCTGTTGTCCTTGTGTTCTCTACCACCTAGAACGGCAAGTTTGGAAGGTGCCATCAGAAGGCGCTTTGGAGAGTTGCTGCTGTGCTTCATATCTGTAATACTCTGTGCTTTCACTGTGTTAGTGGTAGAGAATAATTATTCAACTTGGTGCTTCGAGTACCAATCATGCAAATTATCCTACCTGGTTTTGACTGCCCAAGTGCTACTGGAGCCAAACTCATCCATACAATTGGAGAATATTTCATTAAACTCTTGATTTGTACTTGTAGACAGTGAACAGGCTTTGGGGAGCCAGGTGATGCATTACTTGTTGGAGATGTTCCTGTCTCTGACCTGCTCCTATATCACAATATTTAAAAAGCTGGTCCAGTTCAGTTTTTTCAAATAAAAGACTAGCATTCCTATATTGCTTTCCATCACCATCAGCCATCTCAGTTCTTCACAGCCAATACAGCAAGTTTTCAAGTGCAGTTAGTGTTTAAAAAAAGTAGCCAATTTGCACCCAACAAACTCCCACAAAAGGACAGTGCAGTAATGAGTAGACAATCTATTTTTGTGATAGAGGGGGAAATATTCATCACAATACTGGGTTTAACGTCCCTGCTCTCTTTGAAATACTGCCATGGATGTTTAACATTTAAAACAGTATCTCCAACAATGCAGCATCACACTGGAGTGTCAATCTTGTTTCATGTGTTCAAGTCCTGGAGTACACTGGAGTCCAGAATCTTACGATTCCGAGGAAATGGTATGACCAACTGGTTAAATGGTAGCATCCAGGACTTTGAATGATGTTAATGCTGTTGAATATCAAGGAGAAACGTTAAATTATCTCTCAATAGAGATGGTCATTGCCATGTGCGACAAATGCCACTCACCACATGCCACTCATGGAAGCCTGAATGTTGTCTAGGTATTAAAAATATGTACATAGATTGCTTTAGAGATTGAGTCATCGCAAATACCACTGAAAACTGTGCCTTCAGTGAACATTACCACTTCAAACCTCGTGATGAATAGGTCCTAATGAAGTGAATAAAGATGATTGGGATTAGATACTACCTTGAGCTCTTGCAGTGATGTCCTGAACTTAGATGATTGATCTCCAAAACCATAACTATCTCCCTCTGTTTTAGGGCTGAGTCTAATCAGTAGAGACTTTCCATTCTGATCCATGGGATCTGAGTCAATGTGAAGATTTCAAGGCAACTTCCTTCTACTATTATACCAGCTCCTCTGGTTGAACTGTCCAGCTAAAGGAACAGGATGCAGCCAGGCATGAAAACGGAGACATCTGGAATATTAGTTAAAATTTACGATGGAGAGAATGCTTGTCTTAGACTGTTGTTTGTCTAGCCCATGAGACAGCTCTCCCAAATTTTGGCGCAAGCCCAAGATCATTGGGAGGACTTTGCAGGACAACTGGGAAGAATGTTCATTATCATTTCCAGTGCCTTGGTAAATGGAAGATGGCTATTTTGGTTTTACTCCTAATCAGCATTGTAATAATTTGATACAACGATTGGTTGAGATAGGAATCCACATAGCAATGCAGTTACCTGTGTCCCAAAGCACAAGGCTGGATCTCTAGATTACTATTCCTGTAACATTATGCTTATGCCATGGTCCCCTGTTGAACTACTTTTCATATTATAATAATCTGATAATTGGAAGGGACAGTGAACTGGTGTGCCAACTTTTAGTAGTCATGCAAGTTCAAAGTCCCACTCTGTTGTTCAAATTTGTTGAAAGCAGCCACCTGCTAGTGAAGAGGACAAAGGGGGAAAATTGGTGGGGGGTGGGGGGGATGGAAAAGAAGCAGGCTTGCAATACTTCAATATTCTTAACAATTTGCAATAAGGAGCATGGGATGAGGTCAGGGTGAAAAATATTTCAGTCCTCCTCAAGTGTAAGTGGTACATAGTATGAAAACTGGAAGGGAACTCATTCACACTTAGCAGTCAGAAAGGCAAAGTAATTTTATTGTGCAAGAACAGAAGTAAATTAATAAAGCCCTCATGCCGATTCTGTAATGCAATTAGATCCTGGTTGATCTCTACATTAATCTAAAATTTACCCACTTTGGGCTCCACATAAACTAAAAAAAAAACCAAAATTTTAATTTTTTGATAGAAAAAGCCTTGAAAGCATTTTTAGGGAGAGCCATACACTCTATTACCCTTCACATGAATGCAACTTTACCCCTGATCAGCTCAGTTCTAATTAAGGTTTAATTCCTCATTCTGAAGGCCTCATGAGTCTTTCATTGTTTGACTCATTCAGTCCAGATGAGATGTATTCTAGAGGAGTTAAGAGTAGAAATTATGGCCACAATCTTACATTACCACCGCTTGGAGAAAAACTGAAGGATTGAAAATGTTACAGGGGAGAAGGACAAACTTGGCAAATTGCAGGTCAGTCAGCTGAATGTTGGTGGTGTAGAAGCTTTTAAGAGCATAATCCAGGACACAGATAAGTAGTTACTTGGAAAAGCATGAATAGATAAAGCACAGATTTATTTACAGCAAATCAAACTTTCCTAACTTGGAAAAGTTTTATGATGAAGAGAGTACAGTCGATATTGTACTTCCAAAAAGCATTTGATAAAATACTACAGGCTGGACTGGTTAGCAAATTTGAAGCTATGGAACAAAGAAGGGTTGCATAAATTGGTTTAGGAATAGAAAACACAAATCTGTAGTTCAGGGCTTTTACTGATCTGGAGGGAGGTACACTATGAAGCTACAAAGGATTCAGTTTTAAGGCCATTGCTGTTTCTGATTTACATTAAAATACTTGGGCTTAGTGGTTGAAGAGGAAAGGGACTATTTTAAAATCTGCAAGTGATACAAAATTTGGAAGTATAGTTAACAGTGGAGGAGGATCAAGAGGACAAAGACAGGCTGATGAAACACGAGGTGTGCACACTAAAAATTTCAATTCAGAAACATGTCATGCGATATCTTTTGGTGGGATGGATTAGGAGCAACACAAGGAAAGTTGCATAATTTTTTTTTTAAAAGGGAGCGCAAGAAGTTACGTGGTTTTGTTGGTGCACAAATTTTAGAAGGTGACAGGACAGATTAACAAAGCAGTTAATAGAAGCATTTGGGATACCAGGCCTTATTTTTAGCACAAAATACAAAAGCCCAGGATGCATCAAAGATATCATTTACATCGAGCTTTAAAGCCTTGAAAATCCCTCCAAAAACAGCAACTGATTTCTACATAACGCAAAGTGCCAGAGCGGGTGTGGGTGATTGCTATTTTGATATGTCATCAATATCTAATGCAAATTCTGAATCCAATTTATGCAACCCTTTTCTGTTCCATTGCTTCAATGGGTATGTCTTAAATTCCAGCCCAACTTTGTAACAGCCTATTACACCAGTTTGATCCATTGCACTCAGTTCGATGGCATCAGAAAGAAAAATAACCATTTATGTCATGAAAATTGAGACTGCTATTAAGAGTATAGCATGTCAAAGCTGAAAAGTGATGGGGAGGAATTGACTTGTTTGTAGAATATACGCAAAAACACCATGTTATCACACTGCTGTTATGCAATAACAGCAAATAGTTGGCTTCACCCGTTCCTCAAATTTTTCAGCTACCTTACCTTTCCAAGGTAATCAGAGGTAGCCTGGGTACTTTTGGGGTCCAAACATGACAGCTTGTGCAATATATAGCAAGGAGGGATCTGGTCAGGGTAGCCATTAACCCACAGAATAGCTCTGATGCACCCCATTTCAGTATCAAGCTTGCATGTTGATCAACTGACCCTATTGGTGGGTGGGTGGGGTGGGGGGAGCTCAGGCTGGGGAAAGGTAGGTGATATGGTGATAGGTGATGCAGGTAAGGGGTTATATTGATTGGTCAGTGGGAAGGGTGGAGCAGATAGATAAGTAGGAAGATGGGCAGGTTGCACGCACCAACCAACCCAACCCAACTTTCTGGTCCCCATCCATTTTAATTCCCCCTCCTACTCCCCTGGCGTAAATGTCCATCCTTGGCCTCCTCCATTGTCAGATTGAAGTCAAACGTAAACGGGAAGAACAACACATGACTTTCACCTTGAGAGCTTACAGCCTAAGGGCCCGAATATTGACTTCACAATCCCTCCCACAGCCTTATCCCATGTCCCGTCTCCCTGACCTGTCCATCTTCCAACTCACCTATCCGCTCTACCTTGCCACTGACCACGATAACCCCTTAGCTGCATCCACCTATCACCATCCCACCTACCCTTCCCCTTCCCTAGTCCCAGCCCAGCCCCAGCCCCAGCCCCAGCCCCCTCCCTCTATTTCTGGGCTCCTTTCCACCTCCCCAATCCCAAAACACAGTTTCCTGCTCCTCTAACGCTCTCTGACCTGCTGTGTTTGTCCAACTCCACGTTTATTGACTCTGGCTGCCAGCATCTCCAATCCTGACAGTCTCCTAGCCGCTTTGGTTTGTCATTTATATAAATGATTTAGATGAAAATATAGAAAACATGGTGTCATCCACAAACTGACTAACCAAGACTGGCGATATTGTAGACAGTGAAGAAGGATATCTAAGGTTGCAAAGAGATCTTGATCAATTGGGTGAATCACCTGAAAGTGGCAGGTGGAGTTTAAATTGGATAAATAAAAGAGGTATTGCATTTTAGTAAAACAAACAGACAAGACTTACACAATTAAAAGTAGGGCCTTGGGAAGTGTTGAAAAAGAGAGATCTAGTGGTTCGGGTCCATAAGCCTTTGAAGTTTGCATCACATATAGTTAGGGTGGTTAAGAAGGCATTTAGCAAGCTTGCCTTCATTGCTCAGACCATTATGAGCAGCACAGTGGCTCGGTGGTTAGCACTGCTGCCTCACAGCAACAGGGACCTGGGTTTGATTCCACCCTTGGGCGACTGTCTGTGTGGAGTTTGCATATTCTCCCCACGTCTGCGTGGGTTTTCTCCGGCTGCTCTGGTTTCCTCCCACAGTCCAAAGATGTGCAGGTTAGGTGGATTGGCCATGCTAAATTGCCCATAGTGTCCAGGGATGTGTCGATTAGGTGGGTTATAGGGGGATGGGTCTGGGTGGGATGTCGGAGGGTCAGTGTGGACCTGTTGGGTCAAAGGGCCTGTTTGCACACTGTAGGGATTTGACGATGACGATGACGATGACGATGACGATGACGATGACGACGACGACGACGACGACGACGACGACGACGACGACGACGACTTGAGTACAGGAATTGGGACAATATGTTGGAGGCCTCTTATGGAGTACTGTGTCCAGTTTTGGTTGCAAAATTATAGGAAGGATATTACTGAACTGTAAAGGCCCCAGAAAAGATTTATTAGGATGTTGCCAGGAATGGAGGGTTTGAGTTTTAAGCAGAAGCTGGATTGGCTGGGACTTTTCTCACTAGAGCATAGGAGGTTGAGAAATAATCAGGGGTACAGATAAGGTGAATAGCATGTGTCTTTTCCCTAGGGTGGGGGATTTCAAGACTAGGGGCCACACTTTTAAGGGGAGAGGAGAAAGATTTGAAAAAGACACGAGGGGCAATTTTTTTGACACATAATGGTTCGCATGTAGAATCAACATCCAGAGGAAGTGATGGATGCGGATACAGTTACAACATTTAAAAGACATTTAGATAAGTACATGAATAAGAAATGTTTGGAGGAATAAGCATTGGCAGGTGAGATGAGCTTAGTTTGGGATTATGGTTGAACTGAAGGATCTGTTTCCGTGCTTTATGACTGAGGGCAAAATGAAAAGCTTGGGACAAAATGTGTAATACTCAAGTTCTGTAGTACCAAATAACTTTTTCTCCCACATTTGCAGGAGATAAATGGCCAACATGATATGTTTTGGGTCTTTTAACTATTCAGAGGAAATAAAAAGGTAACAAATATGAAATATTGTTACCACTATTATATTTATTATGAAGAAGCAACTACCCACCTCCACATAGTCTGTTGGAACAAGTCCAGTCATTCCCAGAGCATTTGATGCTTCACACCATCCACCACCGACATCCTGAAATCAAGGCAAACATTTAATTCTGTTTTTAAAAAAAATGCACAGAAAGCATTTCTTGTTTATTCTTGCCTTGATTAGCTATACGCAAAGCTAGAAAGCGAGGCTTCATGCAAGAAAAATTTTAACTTTTACGAAGTCTCCGAAGCCAAGAAACCATGGATCTTTCCCTCAGTTTTTAAATGTCTAATAGTTCCTAAAAGAAGCCAATGTGTGGGACGGAAAATGCAGTTTACTGTTTTATCTTTTACATTTTCCCTATTTCTTTGTGTGTGGACCCACTAAAAATTGTTAGTGGAATACATTCCACAGCTGTGGTGCATTTACTTAATTGGTTTCCAAACAGCCATTAACCATTACCTTACAACACATCTCCACTGAACCTTAAAAGGGGAGCCAAGAATATTCCAGCTAATTAAGCACAAGTCCATAAGTTAGCTCTTTGGTCTAAGGGTCTGATTCTCATTTATAGGGTTTTTCTGGCACAGTAGTAGTGTCCCTGCCTCTAAGCCACAAGGCCTAGGTTCAAGTCCCATCTGTTCCAGACATGTGTAATTACATCTCTGAACAGGTTGATTAGGAAAAATATGTTAATTAAAAAAAATTAAATTCAAAAAGATACCTGATGCTGTTTAGGGGCTCTTGTGGCACAGAGGTAGTGGACCAGGAGGCCTGGAATAGGAACAATTTGCCTCAGCACTTCTATATTATAGTGATGCACTCTCTCATATTTAAAAACAACATTGCGAGAAAAGCACTGCTAATACATTAGATCTGCCAAGTTCCCTTCACAAACTAAATGGCTATTAGATTTCAACATCCTCTGCATCTGGTCTTGACAGTGTTTTGCAGGACATAGTTATAGTTATATAACTTTGGCACATAATCATTTAAGTTCCAGATAAGCCAACTTCCTCCACTGTTGAAAAATTATGTTTCAGAAATCTAAGCTGCATCACTGAATAATACCACTGCATGACTCAGAGTGGTGATATATAGATTCTGTCCGAGTTCCCAGTTTCCATAAGCCTAGTTTAGAGTAGCAGGAAGTAGAAGCTAGAAAACTAGCCACAGAAAAAAAGAAAATCCTGAAAACAGTTTTATTCCTCTTCTGGTAAATAGCTTAGGCTTTCCCTAAATTAATAATTCAATTGTTTCCTGGAGCTGAATCTCAGAAGAGATGAGAGCATAGCCCAAAAGGCAAGGTACTTATCTGAAAATATTGGAAAAACATTTTTTTTAAAAAACGAAATAAATTAATTAAACCCTGCTGATTGCTCATTCATACTAATCCAGACCAGAAAGAGTTTTGGTTTCCGAGTTGGAACAAGTCAAGCTGCAAGCTGCCAAATTAAATAGCAATAATGCTTATGTTTACCTTTACAACATTACTCCTATCTACACAGTTGCCATCTCCAAATTCAATTTAATTTGTGTCTTTCTTGTCATGCAGAAGAGTGTGGAAGATGGCAGAATATAAAAGGGAGCTAAAGGGCACATGCAGATATGAAAGGCAAGAGAAAGACAGAAATTGCTGACCTTGGCATGAGCAGAAATCTACCTTTTATCCAAATCAACATCCCAGGTAAATCAAACCAAAATCGTGCACTCTACCAACTTACAGTTAAGGCCTACTGGAGACCATACGCAAACAATAGCAAAAATTAGCCCAAACGCCCTCTTTTCAAAACATTAAACTGCACCTCACAACATTAAATAGTACACAATCATAATGCTAAATAAGCAGGGCTTTACCAAAATATTAATGTGATATGCTTAGCTTTTTTTCCATTAAACTTGCAGAATGAAGCCAATTAGCCTATCATGTCTGCACCAGCTCTTCAAATGAGCATCACTACCTACTGCCAATTTCCTGCATTTTCCCCATACCTTTGTGCATTATTTCTCTCAAAATAATCATCCCAATGCCTGTTGAATGCCTCAATTGAACCTGCTACCAGCACACTTGCAGACAATGCATTTCATATGTAACTACTCAGAGTGAAAGTTTCTTTTTCTCATGTCACATTTGCTTCTTTTATGAACCTCTCTAAATCTGCGCCCTCTGGTTCTTCATCCTTTTATAAGCAGGCATACAGTTTCTCGTTATCCACTCTATCCAGCCAACTCATGATTTTGAAATCCTCTCTCAGATCTCTTCTTAGCCTTCTTCTCTCCAAGGAGAACAGTTCCAACTTCTTCAACCTATTCTCATAGCTGAAGTTTTCCATCTTTAGAACCGTTCTTGTAAATCACTACTGCAGCGTTTCCAATGCATCCAAATTCTTCGTATAATGTGGCTCCCAGTAACTGAACACAACACTCCAGTGGAGGTCTCTGAGGTCTATTATACAAGCTTAGGCCAGACTGTTCTAAGCACTTAGAGCCTAGTTTAATTCTAGGGATAAAGTTCCCTTCTCTTACTTAGCGCCAATCCTTCCTTCCCTTCTCCCAACTTTTCCAAAGCAGCACAGCACTACAGTTATGCTAAATAGATCCAGACCAGTTCTAATATCTTAACAGTTTTATTCAAAACATAACATTGTGCCATTTCCACCCATTCAGCATGTCATTAACAAAAACATCTCCTTCCACACTCCAACTGCAGCATTCTGAAGGATACGTCCCCTCCAAATCACTTGAATGTTAACCTTGTTTACCTCTCTCCACAGTGCTCCCTGACATGTTGAGTATTTCCAGAATATTTTGGTTTTATTGAGGGATGTTTGTTAGGTAATCATATCAAGAAGTAGGAAAACAAGTACATTAGATAGAGATGAGATACAAATTAGACATGTGGTAACAGTGGCAGAGTGGTAAAGTCAGCAGACTCCATGTCAAGGCTTAGGGTTTTGAATTCCACTACAGCTGGTGGTGGAATTAAAATTTTTCTTTTTTTTTTTGGGGGGGGGGTTGTGCGGCTGC